GGGAAAGCTAAGATGGTAATCAGTTCTTGCTGGTTTGAATTTATTTTACTGAAGTAATAGAGCTCACTCTGAAGATACTGTTTTCCATAATCTTTGTTCACTTCTACAACTTTACTTTTCAACTTTACTTTTTTTGTCCCATCTGAAGTGTATTTATTTCTTCAGTGGGACCAGAGATCACCTTTCCCTCTGGGACTAGAAAAGTTAAGATTTAAAAAAAAATGAGGAAATTGTTTTCAATCACACTCTGTACCAGGTAGAAAGTGATATCAAACAATTGTGTCAAAATTTTTCAAAGCAGCTTATGGTGTCTGATACCTTTGTTCTGGATGTCTCATTACAGATTCCTTATACATAAGTGTAATTTTGATAGAGTGAATTTTCAGCCCTTCCATTAAATTGTGCACCAAAATTATTAGCTGTACTTGAAAATGTGGAACATATGCTTTTGGGTGAACACATTAAGGTGCAGCAGATTTTTTTTTTTTTTTAATCCTTTTAGACTTGATTTTTACCTTTTGAGATTTGTATTTAGTTGGTCTTTGAAGACCAACTTTTTATCTTTTGTTAGCAAAGCTGTGCGAGACATTTGTTGCCTTTTTCCAGTCTACAAACTATTTAGTTTCTTAGTTGTGTAATAACCATTTTTGAACATTTACAGGCAAGAGGAAAAAAGAGACAGAAAGGATGGTTTCCTGCCAGCCATGTGAAATTATTGGGTCCAAGCAGTGAAAGAACATCATCTGCTGCTCCCTCAGGTGAAAAAACTAACTTTATTTATATTTCGCTTGAAACAGTTATATAAAATATTTTAATTGTTAAACAATAATCTGAATCACATAACTAATGTAATAGTATGCTTAATGGCTGTACCTTATTCTGGTTTCACTGGGAAATGTAGAAGCCCTAATCAGAATCTGAGACTTTCAACAGATGCGTCCATTCAGACATTACCTAGGTTTGAGAAAGGTAAAATCTCAAAACTTCTTAATCCGAACAGTTCTTTGTGGGGTCCTGCCCTAGCATATATCCTTTATTGTAACTTACAGCAGAAAGTCTCGGTAATACAAAGATGTTTATGTTCAGAAATCTGTGAGGATCGGCCATCCATCTCCTATGGCGAGAACTCTTTAATTTTGCTGAACGCACTCATAAAGACTCTGGATTGCCTGGAGCCCACGCTTGTCTGTGAGGTCCCTGTTTCCACATACCAGCAACAGCCTACAAACTCCTTTGTAAGGAGGGAGATAGAGCTGCATTTTCCACTAGGATTTTTCCATTGGATGGCTGAGTACAAATGAGATTATTTCACAGAAGAGAGTAGCCTTTTCAGTTCTGTGTGCTTAAGTTGCACCATCTCCACAGCTCTGGTTTGCTTATACAGCAGCTTCCTGGGTTTGCCTGGACAAATCTTCCTTTGACTTTTAACTTGCAGTTTGTTAACTAGCTAACGCACGTTCCCTCTTCCTCTGCCCCATTTTTCTCTCAAGTATCACCTATAAGCTAATCAAACTCACGTTCTCTACCAAGCCAGTAGAAGAGTGAGAAATGTGCTCGCGTATATTTTAAAATACTGAGAAGGTCAGTGGATGTGCTGGTAACTGAATCCATTTGCTATCTAAGCACATGAAGTGGAGGTAAAGGGAAACGTTACTGTCTGACCCAGTTCGTAGTATGAGTAAATGAAAAGGGAGGGCAGTTTCACATCAATACAAGATCAGCTGGTTATTTTCTCATGTAAATATCTGTGAAATTTTGTCTCTTTTTCTGGTTATGTTAAACACTCAAGACTAATCTTGTGCAACAGTAGTATTTCTGCTGATCTTGTTTTTTCCTTGCAGTGTGTCAAGTCATAGCAATGTATGATTACATGGCAAACAATGAAGATGAGCTCAGTTTCTCCAAAGGGCAGCTTATTAATGTACTGAACAAAGATGATGCTGATTGGTGGCAAGGAGAAATCAATGGTGTGACAGGTCTCTTTCCATCAAACTACGTAAAGATGATCACAGATTCTGACCCAAGTCAGTGTAAGAAACGATTTTTTTAAAAAACATTTTATTACTGTATTTGAAAGGTGCATTGTTATTCTTCCATTTGTGTTGGGAATTTGGAGTTCCAGGCCTCAGGTGAATTTACTGGTACTTCATGCATTCACTTTTCAGTTTAATCTACAAACAACCAGCACTTTATCAAGCAGCTAGTGTATAATTGCAGAGTGCTAGAGTGAGGTAAAATATTATATTCAATAGGCATTCACCTTCCTTTAATGATAATGATGTTTGTTAACTTGCACTGACTGGGATTCAGTGCAGGCCTACTGTGCTATATTACAAGTATTTTATCTTGCTTAGGTTTTATAAAATACAAAAAATATCTGATATACTTATCTGCTACATACATTAAAAGTATTTATCAGTTCAGTAGAAATAACTACTGAAAGGGTAGGAAAAAGATTCTAGCATTAGCAAGTGGTCTAGCCCATAGTAAATATGTTTTCTGGCTCCCAGCTGATCCTGCTTTCATCCAATTTTGAGAAACATGGTACGTATCAAAGCATACAATAAGCTGAAGATCATCACAAGCAGGCTGAGAACTGAATACCAGAATATACGTCTGTCTGAAGGTCAAAAGTTTCTCAGCCTTTTTTGCTCATAAACACCATAAAGGTTTCTGGTTCTCCCTCACCCCCCCCCCCCCCCAATACCCTTTTTGGCCCCTCAAAGCAAATCACCAGTTTTCATTCCCTCAGCTTTTCCTCCTGGGGCACTGTGATTAAATGAACTTTTAAGGCAATTCCGTGAAGTTAGTGGGTTTGGGAACATATCTTCATGTAAAAGTTTCTCGATCTGCATAACAAGCCCTGCACTAGCTGTTATTTAGCCTGGGCAGCAGCTGTGCTATAAGATGGCATGTATTGGCATTTGTAGTTGCCTCTGTATAAAGAGAAGCACCCAGAAGTCTGGTAGAGCCTGACTTTCAGTAGCGTAAGGGCCAGTCTGCACTTAAGAGCTGGTCGGCATAGTTGTATTGTTAGAGAAGTATTGGCAAATTTGCTAATGAAGATACAGCTTGGATTGTGAAAATAAAATATTTTGCCTGGGTAGCTTGTTATAGTACATGGGCAAAATATGGCATGCACCATTCCTGAGATTTTCTTTTCAATTAATCTGCATCTCTTCTAATGTTTTTGGTAACACTTTGATATTTTTTTCATGCTTCTGGCCAGTGTGGCTATGATGTCAAAACACCTGCCTTTTAGATCAAACAAAATTTTTCAAATTAGGCAAATCCGCATCATTAAAATAATCCTTTGAAAGTTTTTTTTTTTTTTTGATTAGATACATACAGAATCTCAATTTTGAAGAGCATATACTAAATCCAGCTAAGGCTATGAATTAAGATGGTGGCTGATTTTGAATATTAAAACTTTCTAAATTGTCAGAAATGATACAGATGTTAGCTTATCACACCACGTGTATTTCCATTTAAAGTTAGGTAGCTGAATGTCCTAAATGTGAGATGTTTACACATACCATTAGTTTTTAACAAAAGCAATGCTAAGATCAAGTTGTAACTGGAAACATTTGATGCAATGATCACGTTTTTCTCCTCATTTGTTGATGTGTCATTACGCTGTCTTATTCTCAGATTTCAGTGGTGTTGAGTAAAAATATTTCTTTTCCAATCAAATTGTGGCTGTGTTAACAAAATTTTTCTTTGAAAGTGTATTGACAAGGTCAGCCAGTGGCAGTGAGCAAAGAGCAGATAATGCTCCTCGTCATCTTTATGTGGTTGTTAACAGTTGTCTGTTTAAGAAGCTGTTTGCTACAAAGCAGATCTACTGATGCTTAATTAAGAAAATTCGCCTATTGGTGAATTAAGATTATGTTGAAAAATTTTTCAAAATTCTCCAAGTATTTCAGATGAGCTAACTCATTTATCAGCTTTGTGCTAGAATTTGTCAGTCTCGTGTGACATTAAAACATGGGCATCTGGAAACTTCAGGAAAAAGCAGCCATGTTCTGTCCAGAGCCAGCTCAAATCCAGCATGGCTTATTAGCCAGGTGCAGTGTGGTACAAACACAGTTGCACTGATTTCTGACAGCTCAGATCAGCTGAGCTGCTTCCAAACAGTGTGAAGTCTGAGCTACTAAGTCGCACTGGTATAGTGCTAGCTTAATAGTATTCTTCTGTAACTAAAGAAACTAAAGGAACCGTGTATGTTGTTTGAACCTTCAGAGTGCCTTTGACTTCTTCATAATGTTTTTGCACTTATTTAAACATAACGCAGAAACACTTAACTCATATTCTGGAAATATCACTAAGGAATTGTCCCACAAGAATGTCGGTGTGGCCTTCTGGGGACCAACTTTGAGATACGACAAAAATGAGTATAATTTTAAAAATGTTATATTTCAGAGAACTGTAAATCTGAGTATTATAATGTTTCTGCTGAAGAATACCAGTTTCTCCCACTGTCTGTTCTAGCCAGTCAAATGCAATGGTATGTGAAAGGGAGCAGGCAGACTGGGTGTTCTCAGACTGTTGCAGCTTGTGAAAATTCTGCTTTTCCCTTGAATTTAAACTCTGTTATATGGACTGCCTTTGTACCCGGAGTCTTTACTGGGCCTTTCTAGTTATAACTGTAATGGCAAACTTCCCTAGCAAAGAAATTATTTATGTCACCAAGATGGTTCTCTTAGCTTGCTTAAGCAGCTTTCTGAGCAAAATAAGCTATGCAGACAAAATAACTTTTTTTCTGTTGGTATAGCTGTACCTTCTGGCATAGGGTCTCTGCAAGAAGAAAACAATGAGTGATGTTAACAGTTCTGTGAACAGGACTTTTGAATACAAACCAAGCCTTGGTGTCTTACAGAATGCTTGAGTCATGCGCTGCTCAATTGTGGTGACGGGTAGAGTTACTCATATTGTAACGACGTTTTAATAGCCGTCATTCTAATGTTTCCACAGAAATCATCCTGGCATGCATAAAGAATCAATAAGATTTGTATGAGGTTTTTTTTATGGAGAGAGAGAGAGAGAGAGATGTACATTAAAGCACAGATGTTAAAGCACACAATGTTCTTTTTCTTGCTTGACCATTCAAGGTCAGATCTTCAGTATATTAATAGTATCTGTATGATATGCGTCTGCTAAGTTTTCTTCCAGTTCTTCTCAAGGAGTGTGTCAGGTGAGTGGGGCACGCTTGCCACTTCAGAGTTCTTCCTGGTGGCCTGGTCTGGAGATAATTTTGTCATTTGAGCAAATCTACATCTACTTTAAACAGTTGCTCTTAAAACCTTCTCTCTCCATATTTGTTGGCTTTTTGGGCAAGGTGTCTTCCTTTTTCAGTTTGTCATCTTATCCGTGGAACCAGTCTGAGCCTTTATCTTGTATTTTCTTTAGCTGAGACTTCCCCAGGCCCCATCTACCTCAAATGAAGGCTTCCCAAGGTGAGACAGATGCTCCAGCTACCTCTACGTACTTGGTTGCTGGATGTCTTTTAGTATTGGAGATCTATTCATTTTCTCAGCGATACTCTTGCCAAGAGTTGGAAAACTCAGCCAGGTGGACTTAGCTATATAGGTGTGCAAAGGCTTTGACTTCCTGTTATCTGAGATATCTCTTCTCCTCTCACGAGATTTCTCGTCCATAGAGCTGAAATGCTGTACCAGTTCTTGCTACTCAGTGATGCATGCATAGTTACTGCTTCTGCTCAGTCTGTCTTGTTTTTGCAGCCAAGCACTGCTGAAGTTTATCGGGCGTTTAAGTTATTCCTTCTGGTGCCTAGATGCAAGCTGCAAGTAGTCTCCATAGCCTGATGAGCCTCTTCCCCTCCCTCCCCACGTAAGCCTGCCTGCTGTGCCATCTGTCTGTGCAGATGGCCTTAGGCAAGGATGGTCAGTCAGACCGGAAGTACCAGGAACAGATCCTCTCTCCTTAGACTGCTCTTCACATGCATATGGCAAAGGTGTGAACTTCCTTAGGTACAAATTTGATGTTTGTAGTAAAATCCACCTCAGTCACCAGATCTGCCTACACCTTTTTTCTCATCCAAAACCTAACTTGCAGGTGTGACATGCTACACAGACATGAGGCAAGTACTGTCCTCATGCATGTAGCATGGCGCTACCTTTCCAAAAGTTTCTTTGACTTTTCATCTCTGTGCATGAAAGATCGTAAACATGGTAGTTCCTGTCTACCACTGTCTAATTAGTGAAGCTGACCCATTTCCAAGTTCTTGCTGCTTTGGGAACACCTGGACTGAAACGTGCACATAAACAAGCTCTCAAAGAAGAGAGCAGCTGCTTTCCAGTGATTGTGTGCACATAGGAGCATTCTGCAGTTGAAAGGAACCGAGCAGCAGGAAGCATCCACCAATTTTTATGTCCACCTATGTGGCGCATAAAGACAGATGAGGATGCATGTTTGCTATACGGGTGTCCCTAGTGGAAAAAGCAACCTCCAAACTGATGTGCTTGTGGCACGTGCGTTTCTACGTCTATATGGACAATGCATCTTGAAGGATTCTAGTTATTGTTAAGTAACTTCTCTTTCATGATTATGTAGTAAGAGTTTATGATATCAGTTACTTTGAGGAACTGTTGTATGTTGCAGGTCTACATTCACTATTTAACATGTGAAGATTAATAATTTATCCTCCCTCTAAGATTTTGGTTTAAAAGTTCCAGAATTTTACTCCTTTTACCAGGGAGCAAATATGAAATGAGGACCTTACTTAATAGTCATGGTGTCATTTCACTTCCTACTGTCTTCTTCTAAAAAGAATTATTTGGTGAACGTCAAGCTTGTTAAGGCTTCTGGGTTGAAAGTCTGGGGTCGGCAGTCCTCTCTTCTGGGAACAGTCCACAGCACGCGTACCTGCAGCCCAAGTCGTACATCTGCCTAAAACCCTGACTTAGCAGTGCCTCTTCTAGTCTGTGTAGACTTTCCTTTCTGATAAGAAAGCCAAGTGGCCTGGTACTTACTCCCTACTTTTCATGGACACACATTTACTAGAGACAAG